CTGCTCTAGGAAGGAGGCCCTGGCAAACCCCGTCTGAAAACACCTTGCCTTGAAAACTGCAAAGGACTTGTCCAAAAGCAGTCACTGCAGAGTTGGTAACGACTGAGTGCAGATAAAAAAGAAAAAAAAAACCTAGTTAGTGTATAAGTAACTAGAGAGTAACCTACTAGAGAATAACCATGAAAATAAAGAACTTGGGAGTAAAAATCGCAATAAAAGGGAAAAGAGCGTTCTCAACTATCCTCGGCTTGGCTGGGGCTGCCTTTTTAAAATAATGAGGACTTTTCATGGTTGGATCCTGCTGAAGTTTATACAAGGTGAGATACTATTGTGTAATTAGTTTACTACATCAGCCAAGTGAACTAATGTGATTAAAGTGGCTCTGGTAGGCTGAAACATTTTGGACAACCACTAGATGACAGTAAAGTATTAGAATTTTCTCCATCTCTTTATCTCCATCTAGTGATTGTCCTGAGTATTACAGCCCAGGTCTGGTAGCCCAAGTCAAGATGCTGAACTTGAATGAGGCAGGTATGAGTCCACTCTTAGCTATGGAAGGCCCCAGAGTGACTTTGGGCCAACCACTCTCTCTCAGCCCAACCTACTCACAGGATTGTAGTTGTGGGGATAAAATTAGGAGAGACGTTGCTGTATGTTGAGCTCTTAGAGAAAAAGTGGGCTATAAGTGCTATAAATGACATCTCAGTAAATAGATTTAGACAATGCTACTAGACTGTACATGTCAGTTTGTAATTTGAGCTATGTTTTTGATAAGTGAGGTTATGAAAGTATATCTGGGTTTAAGACTCTTTGTCAACCTCCATGAAGACTCTGAGCCTCCCCAGGATGGGATCACTTAATTGCAAATAGTTTCTGAGCATTGTAGTCCTAAGCAGAGGAAAGAAGATGCACAAAACCCTTATTCTACTCTACTCTGCGCTGGTGAGACCACAGCTGGGGTACTGTGTACAATACTGGGCACTCCATTTTCAGGAGGATATTGACAGGCTAGAACTGGGTCAGAGGGAGGGAGGTGACAAAGAGGATATAGGGACATGTAGACATCCCTATGAGGACAGGCTCAAGGAACCTGGGATGCTTAGTCTGGAGAAAAGAAGACTGAGAGGAGACATGAGATCAGTGTTCAAGTCCATAAAAGGGTGCCATAGGGAAGATGATCAGGAACTATTTTCCACTGCCATGTACTGTAAATGAAGACCAGAAATAATAGATATAAATTCCAGCTACTTAGATTTTGTTTAAACATAAAGAAAAATTTTCTGGTGGTAAGATCTGTGCAACACTTGAATTCAGATAGGGCTTCTCCATCTCTAGGGGTTTTTAAGAAGAGCCTGGATGACACTTCTCAAGGATTTGTTTTCTTGCACATTGCAGAGGGATGGACCAGATAATCCTTGTGGTCCCTTCCAGCTTCATAACTCTATGATTCTATTAATCTCCTTTGCCAGTTTCACCCACTGAAACACATTCGTAGCTATCAACTGTACTTTGTCAGATTTCCTCCAGGCTTCCACAACTAAACAACAAAATTTACAAAGCTGGAAAGGATCTTTTGGGGTCACCTGGACCAAGACCATAACCCATGTGTTGCATGTTGAAATGGATAAAACATATGTCCTATGAATTTAAGGATAATAGCCAATCTATCTTATTTGAGCAAGCAAAATTCTGAACTTAATGGAGCATTTAGTACTGTGGCTGCACAAAATAATAAAAGATTAAAATTTAATAGACATCAGACAGCTAAACATTACGCTGAAAGTTCAGTCACTCACTCATTTATTCAAGCAGCCAAGGAGACAGCCCTGTGATCAAGATTCAAACAGTATGAACAGCTAAGATCAATTAAATTCTGATAGTTATTTCCTTGTAGTGCAAAGTCAGCTGGCAGGCCAATGACAAAGGGTTACCTGCTACCTGATTACCTGGCTAGGAGAAAATAGTCATATTGATTTGTCTTCTTCCTTTCCCAAGTTGACAGGATGAAAAATATGTCTCCATCAGGTCTTTTCCTCATAGTAAACATGCTCTCTGTATGAGCAAGTGAACAAGTGGTAGCAATGACTAAGGCCACCTCCATGTAGACCACCTTCCTCCCAAAATCCTAAAGTTGAACTACGTGTGAACCAAAAGCAAGCAGTTGGAAAAGCCAGTAAGTCAGAACAGTCATCCCGTTTCCCATCCATACTGTTCTATGGCTTAAGTCCCTATCTTCTCAGGGAGTTGATTCCTAGGTCAAAACATTTCTCAAGACAGCAAGGAAGCTCTCCCAAGAAAGAGATATCTGAAAGCTAAGCATACAATATCTGCTGTACTGTATGGAGCAGCTAGAGAGCTGCTTGCACTGTCCCTCTTCCTGTAGTGTTGGCAGGGTCCCAATCCAGAGCAAGTCCGCCTACTATAAGGTTTTTTTTTCTTGCCTTTCCTTTAAAAGCTCAAGGTCTTTCCCACAACAGCAATCCTATGAGGTAGGTAGGGCTAGGAACTGCTGGCCCAGTGAGTTTCCATGACTAAGGATGGACTTGAACCCAGGTCTCCCTGCTCCTAGTCCATCACCTTAACCAATATTTCACCCAGGTGTTAGGAAGGAAGCATGACATCTTCATTGTAGAGGACTCGGGGTCTTCCTCATCTGAGAAGGTTCATTCTAGTTCTAGTATGGTCCCTACAGGAAAGTGCTGACAATAAGTATTGGTTAGCTCTTCTGGCCTCTTTGCAGCTTTCAAGAAAAGTATTTCCTGCCCTGACTTGCTTTATTTGCATCCAACACTTGGTGCATTCCATCATGTTGCCTTCGCCATTCAAAAGAAAATTATGGGCATGGACATACTTGGCAGAGCAAAGATTTAAGCTGTCTTTTATCAAACTTGGGTTGACTTTGTTTAATGTGGGTATCCACACCTTCTGCCTATGGCAGTTCATGTGGGAGAACATGCCTTTCTTGATGTGAAAAGTGACTGAGGAGATAATGGTCAGCTATGTGGTTTCTTTCCAATGCACCCTATATGGTACTTAAACTGAGCAGGGAGCCAGCTAAGGACCAGTGAGCCTCCTTATGCAGCCGAGAGTCTTGGCCACAGCCAAATGCTGAGAAAAACTAGATGGTGGTAAGATATTCTACAAAACTCCTTCCAGGTCTTTCTCTAGAGATGATTTCCTGGATGGGAAAGAGAATTGGGAAGTTTACCTGAATCTGATTTTTTTTTCCTGGTAGTTTCAGACTTCATATTTTGTAATAATTAAGTTAGGAGGTCTTCACTCATAAATCAGGGCAGGTTTTCTAGAAGCTATGAGACATGTGCGGAATGGAAAGGCTATCATTACATCATTCTTGACTCCAGGGTTTTCCCCCAGCTGGCTGTTCTCTGCCCCACAGGAAGAATGACACTAAGAGGGGTGTGGAACGGAATATCAAGAAGAACCATATGTGGATACAGGAGCACTACAGACTCTTGCTGAACATGATAATATTCTTACATGGTCACTAGCAGTTTGCAAAGAGACAACAGCTCCTTGGAGGAGCTGAGAAATTCAATTTCTACAGAGTAGGGACAAGAGATAAGAGAAGGGCTGTAGGCATCAACACTGCTTCTGAAAACACTACCACTATCACAAGACCATAAACACAAACACATTTTTCATGGTATTAACTGGGGTCTCAAAGATTTTGGCCAGTGGAGAATTTGAAGCAGAAGCTGTAGTTGTCATGGGGAAGCTGTTGCCTGTTTGCCAAATGGCTACCAAGATGGTCTAGCCACTCAAGACCAGCAGATGCAGCCTGGGAAGAGAGTCCTCCCCATCAACAGGGTGTCCACAGACATGACACCGGAAATCTCAAACAGAAGCTTTTGTGGCTTCTGGTAAGCTCATGGTAAGCCAGATGGTATATTTGCCATAGCCTTTAAGATTTTTCCTTTGGGACAGTGCCTAGCTTTTTTGTGGCAATTTGCCCAGATGAAAGACCTCATCACTGAAGGCAAAGTCTATTTCTGTGTTCAGTTGGTGTTGCTAATCTACAGGTTGGTTGGCAGGAGAAAGCACCCTCTTTCTCGGGGACTCCAGCACAGTGAATGGGACTTCTGCTTACGATACTTAGAACAGGTGATGGCAAGGATTTAGCTTCAGTCCATGCCACCTCATGCCATCACCTTTCCCTTCCATCCATTGGCAACCCCTTTCCTGCTCTGATCATGCCATTATCCATAAGGATGTTTCTACTCTCAGCCTCAGGCAGGGCAAGGGAGGGTGGAGTGTACATCTTCCTTTTCTCAAACTTACACCTTTCACTGCATAGTACCTATGTTGCAAATTTAACCTGGCCTGTTCCAGAAGGTGTGTCTTGGTAAGTGAGTAAACCATACAAGCACGTTACCATGAAGTTGTAGGATTCTGGAGGCATGTAGGTGTGTCTCTGAGTATATAAATAAGCAGAAATGTGCCATTCTTCAGAGGCAGGCCAGCGTGACTTTTATTAGACAGCAAAAGGTATGTTTTGTGATTATCTCATACTTTTACCAGCAGTAGAAAACTGATTGCTCAGAACAGCAAGGCTACATTTCCTGCTTATCTGCTGAAGACCAAATGACATATTACATGTAGTTGTGTGTTTATTTCTGCTCCTGTTTTTAACAGTTGGGGATTGTAACCAGAGGTTGCTTCATCCATTCCTCACCATCTCTCTTTTAGTAAAGGTTACCAACCCAATCCCCCCCCCCCCAGATTTTAGAAAAGGGGTCCAACCCAACCCCCCCCCCCCCCAGAACAGAAAGGTATAGTATCTTTTCCCAGCAAGCAGGAAATTGTAGGGATGTCTGTGAGTGGATAGATAGAAGGAAAGTATTGCAAGTATTGAATCCCCATCACTTCAGCTTCTGACTGCAGCTTCCAAGACTTCTTATCAGTAATTATTGGTAACCAACACATGTATATCAAGATGAACTTTGGTTCCTAGAGGTAAATCTGTGGGACTGTACCAAAGCAGTAAACCCTTGAGTTCCAGTGCCTTCTCCAAGAGATGGAGCATGATCCATTGCATGTCCACTGAGAACTCATTCTGCTGAATTCTGTGGGGCTAATCCCAGGTAGGTCTGCATAAGATTGCAGTCTTAATCCACCTAACTGTGCAGATTCAATTCTTTGAAGTCTGTGGACTGAGGATTATTCTATTAGATTTCCATCTTCAGCAAGACAGGAAAGTTGAGGTGGAGAAAGTCAATTTGGTTTCTCCCTTATGGGAAGAGTCAGACTTTGGACGACCAATTGTCTGATTAATTAAGGAGCCTCCCTAGTGAGTAGACTTTGCTTTTGCTAATGTGAATGAATTAGCTTGCTAAGTAAAAAGTAGCATGAAATTGATTAAGTTCACTTATCAAGTGAATAGTTCTGATGAAGGAAATATGAGCAGAGGTTTGAAAAGAACATAGAATTGTATTTCATGTATATCAAAAAGTGGCAGGTGAACTGCAGGAGACTTTGTTCCATGATCTGAATTGTCAGAACCAGAAGGGAGTAAGGAGGGTGCGATTCATGGTTGAGACGGTTACTTTAAAATAAGGAGAGTGGAGTTTTGTTTTTTTTTAAGTAGAATTTTCCTATGCTATGGCATCACATCTCTTTTCAGATGTACAGTATTCACTGTTTTATCAGCTTTTCCCCTCTGGAGTTCACAATAACCCTACAATGTGAGGTTTATTCCACAATGTCAGTTTCATATTAGCCGACACCAGTTATGCCTCATATTCTAGAGCAAATGGGTTTCTCTAGCTCTTGGGTATCTTTCTGCCATTTTAAATATTTCTCCATTTCCTAGGGGCTGATATCCCTACTTTTTGCAATTATTTAGCTGATAAAATAATTGATATGGTTAGAAATAATTGTTTTCATTCAAATGATGTTTCCTCAGTTCATTTTAGTAGAAACCAGTTGTAGTCTGAAGCATGATTTCATCTAAGCCCATTCACTTGCTGCTGACTGTCTGCTTGAGCAGAGGTTAGGAAAAGACATTTAGTGTACAACATGCCCAGATGTCACTCAACTTCTGCAGCAGTTTAGAAATGGAGGTCACCAAATTCATGTGAATCAACCCTTCGAATTGCCCCATTTAACTCCACTTAGGAGCTGCATGATCTTGCTACAACTTCCTTGCAGGGATGAAAAGGAAGAGTTTCACATTTATCTTACACAGTTTGTGCTTAAAAGACATCATTAGGAAAGACACTGATTGTTGTCCTGTTTTACTATCTTTGCTGATAATGGATAATCAGTTATATCGGGGCAAGTCTAGCATGCTAAAAATAAGCATAAGAGTAGATTTTTCTAATGAAGGGTTTCTGTTTCCAAAACAGGTTTCAAAAAGAATCAGGAAGCATGAAGGTCAAACATTTTGCTCTGCTGTGTGTCCTCATGATGTTCTCTCAGCTGCTACAAGCTGATAGTGAAACAGTGAAAGAGAGAAAAAGAGAGAGACCGAATAACAGCAGAGGGGGAAAAGGCCAGCCTGGATCTAGTAAGAATGCCAGGGGCCAGAGAAACAGAGGACAAAATGGTTCTCCCATGAAAGGGAAGTTTACCACCAAAGAGAAGGCTGAATGCTCCTGGAGTGTAAATGAGAAAGAGACCACTCTGCTAACAGTGGACTGCAAAAGAGGTGAAGATGCCTTCTCTTGTGCGTTTTCTGGCAGCCCTTCTACCTGCCAGCGGTATACAGAAAACCAGAAGGTCTTCTGGAAGGAAATCACTCGATCCCTAAAGAAGCAGAAGAATCTCTGTAAGGACCACAAGGCTGTCTTAAAGTCTAAAGTCTGTAAGACTGGGCCACCAACCGCCCATCTTAGACTGATTATGGATGCCAAGCAGGAGACCTCAAACAAAGAACCCATTGACTGTGTGGAAGATGTTGATTACGTGGATCAGAAGAAGGTGGCTGAAGCACACTGCTCCGAGCTGTGGCAACCTCTTTGCCACTTCTTCATTTCAATGATACAAGATAAAAAGTGCAGCTAGAAAGGCAAGGAGGCTGGCCGAAGGCCTTGGGTTACTAGAGTTACTACGGGCACAACGGTCTTAACCAACAGTATCAAGAACAAACATTCTGGATTGTTCTCTGATGCATCCAGTCAACCACCACTTGGAGAAGAAAATGCAATGTGTTTCCTTCTTTTGCTGAAAAAAATCTGGCTGTAACTATTAATCCCCTCCACCCTTCATCCCATCCTTCCTCCCACTGCATAACTCGGGAGAAAGGTGCTATATGAAAGGGATAAATTTGATGGAGGGGTTGCCAGCAACTGCTTTCTATGTTATAATGTCTGACGGGAATACAAAGGCACATTTTTTATTAGGCCAACATGATGTTTGCAAAACAGTGCACAAGGTTTTCAGATGTCTAAGACCACTTTATCAGCAAGATAATTCAGAAGAAAAGGAAGTGTGGGTGGAGGGGTGATATAATGTGTTTATATAAAGGAAGTGCCAAAATGAGCATTTTCATCAAAGATACAATAAAGAATAAATTTATTTCCCAATGGAGCATGGTGTCCATGGGGGGGGTCAAAAAAGTCAAGATGGAGGCCACAGCCATGTAATTGAAGTCCCATCCCCATTGTGGCAGATGTAAAAGAGGACAGGGCTTGGAGAGAAATGGATTTGTATAGTGTGCTATGCAGATGTTACAAAGGTGTGAAAAGCTCCATGTATTTCTTCGTTCTCCCCTGCATATTTCTAGCCAAAGTGATAATTATAGTGTTAGGCACTTTTTTCTTACTTTTGACTGTAGATTGCTAAAAATAAAGGTAAATACCTTTTAAAACTGTTCTCTATGGTTCTATCTCCTGTTTGTCCCAATTTTCTTTCCCATACTTGGGCATAATTTGCATGCAGTCACTTAATGCTCTTACTGAGAATACCCATCTCTGGGGGAGATGGGCAGCATACAAATTTAAATAAATAAATAAATAAAAATGCTCAGTATGTCTGATGGCCACCATCAACTCACTGGCATTTCAGCCTAGCAAATGGAATTCAAGGGCATCTCCCTATGGGACAGAACTAGCAACATTCCTGTAGAACTGAATCTGAACTTTATATTTTTATATATTTCACCCAACGGACTGTGGAAATCACTCGTTCTCAGTACTCTTATCCTTCCAACGGGCCTGAATGCTCTAACTGCAGTACAAAATTTGTCTTCCTCCCAAATATGTAGCAAGGGACATCCTTTTGTATAAAACAGGACCACTATTTTAATGGGGAAGGCGGAATGAAGATTTAGTAAATCAGAGAGGCCCCATACTTTTGGATATATTTAAGACCTCAGGGGAAAAAAGTTGATACTTTTATATTTTCTTTTTTAATACATAGTTGACAGATAGATATTATTACAAATCCACAGGCTTTGTTTCTTAAGTAAGAGGATTTGTGCCTTTGATCTGAGTACTCTAAATTCATGTCATTTCATCATTTGTTTTTTTTTAAATGTCATGCAACATTTAGCACTCACCAGCAGCCAGAAGTATAAGCTCTTTCAAGGATTTAAAACATCTTTATTCATTTTTCACTCCAACAACCAAGAGCCGTGTGGCTTTGATGCAACAGCATGTGGTCCCAAAGAAATTTTGCTAGTGCAATAAAAGTTAAATTAATCTTAGAACACCTCCAGTTGTAGATTCAGATTCTCAGCCTCTGAAAAGTGGAACTGTTCTATCAGCCTATTTCACAAACTCCAAGATCTGTGGCTCACACCTTACTCTCAGCACATGAACACCATTTCTCTGGCTCTGCTGCAGATGTAGAGGTGAGGAAAAAAGGCTCCATGGATATTTTGGAGGGTTGTGATCCTGGTCCTATAAAATTTTGTCATGGGTTGTCATTTCTTAGGACACAGAGCATTTCCACCAAGTGACTGGCCTCCCTGCTCTTTCCTTGTCAGGGGCAACTGTAGGGAAGGTCAAAATAGTCAACATGACAGCTTCCATTTGTGGTCAAGGCTGCCCTCTAGACATTTTTGATCCTCGCTGGTTGTGCTGCTGGTAGAAGGGGAGCATTGCTTGTCCATCCAACAGTTGAGCAGCTGGTTACTCAAACTGACAGAAAATGCTTATTGCATATATAGAACATACTAAGGGAAAAATCTGATGTAATTCAGATGCCATGTTTTGGATTTATTCTGATCATAGATACAGCAGCAGGTATTGTAGGTGACTGGTATACACTAGAATGTTATCCTTTATCCCATGATATGCCATCCCATGGTGGCAAATGATATAGTTTGTTTTTTGGTTCTTGACCATAATAAATAAAATCCTGGTAAGCAATCACATCCTTTGTGCAATGGCAGCATGACACACTGGTTGTTATTTTAATATTATTGTGGCTTGAAATGGATGCTGATGTCCCCATCTCTCAGGATCATCCCACTTGCATTCCACACAAGTTCCCTCTCCCTCTTTCTCTGAGACTTATTCCCTGCCAAGACACCTGGCCTCTGCTTTCTTTGTCTCACAGGTTCAGTTGCAGGCCTCCTTACCTTGCTTTCTCCAAGGTTCTCCATCAAGACCCAACATTCCTCTCCTCCAGGCAATTCCCATGAACCCCAACACAAAACTTCCTGCTTTTTCCTTTCTTTTGTGTCACCCCCAGCAGCAGGTTCTCTGCCCCCACCTCCAAGTTGTGCGTGTGTGTGTGCGTGCGCGCGTGCACCTTGAGTCAGTGTTGACTCCTGGCCACTGCCTGGACAAGTCCCTGCAATTTTCTTGGCAAGATCTGCAGAAGTGGTTTGCCATTATCTCCTTCCTAGGGCTAAGAGAGAGTGATTGGCCCAAGGCCACCCAACTGCCCAAGGTGGGCTAGAACTCACAATCCCCGGTTTCTAGCCACTACACCAAACTGCTCCAAGCTGCCTCACTCCATTTCCAGAAAGTGAAAAAGACCTTCCTTCCTTGGAACATTTCAAAGACAGAACCGCTCTCTACCCACACTGTCCACATGAAGTCAGAGAGATGCAAAGGAATAAAGACCACATAGAAGACAATGCTTCACCCTGAAGTAGCCTCAGCTGTCCAACATTTAAAATACAGAGAGAGATCCTGTAGGCAACCCAACCTGAAATAATTTGGGATACTTTGGGTTCAGGAGTTGTTCCTTGTTGATAGCAGTGGTCACAAGTGCCTTTGACTGGTGCACTGGCTGTGTCTTTGGGGTGAAGAACACCTGGCTGCAGTGATTCAAGACTTCATTACCCCTCATTGAGAAGTGCTGCTGACCTTGTGTTTGGAAACAGCTTCTGCCAAATGCAGCAACTGACTTTGTAAGGCACATTAAGTCTGCCTGGATTAACTTCCCTGCCTTCCGCTTCCCATCAGAATCCAAGATTTCGGATTCCATTTTGGTATAGAAACTGGAAGACATCTGAGAAGCCATTTCTTTCTCTATGAACATTCCAGTAAATTACTAGATATGCCAGGAGTGTCTGCAGGGTGTGATCAAAAAAGTCACAATGATGGCTGCAATAGTTTGATTGAAGCTCAGCACATACCAAACAAATGTACCTTCAGCCGCACTGCCATGACCACCATCTTCATGTTTTCACCATAACCTGTGGACACCCTTGGATATGCAGAGGCTGTGCCTCATAGGGCCCTGAGATAGGGCATGTTTACTTTCAGTACCTATTGGGAACTCACTACCCCAGCAGGACTGCTTTCCTCTCTTTCCATGGTCAGGAAAGACTGTTCTGCACCACTGGGCTGTTTATTTTATTTTATTTATTTATTTTATTTATTGGATTTCTCTCCCGCCCATCTCCCCCACAATAGGGGACTCTGGGCGACTTACAAAAAAACATTAAAACTAT